GAAAGGCTCTGCAGTCACCACGAGCAACACACACACACACACAATCGTCGCGGCCTGAAAGCATTCCCTACAAGGAGTGAAGGGAGACAGTGAGTGAGTGAGTGAGCGGCGACACATGCCCAAGATGTCCTGGCACATGTTTTTGTATTCGGTGCTGCTCCTTTTCTGCGTGCTGTTGGTGTGCTGCGGCGGTACGGCTGTGCATGCCGAGGAGGGAAATACGCCAAAGGAAGCGCAAACACCAGAGGCTGTTGATCTTTTTGTGCCGAGTCAAACGATTGTGGGAACGCGTGCTGGAAGTGGAACGAGGGTCTTCTTTGTCTCACCTTCTCTCGTCAGTGCTGGTGGAGTTTTGGTTGCGCTTGCAAAGAGCCAGGCCAGACCTGTATCCTCCGATACGGGAGAGACTGCGATCGTTTATGCTGATGTTGTGGCGGGGTACATTGACCCTGCGGAGAGCTGGTCGTCTTTCGTCGCTAACGTCAATGCAAACGAATGGAGGGCGTACAGCATCTTTAACACGACCATGCGTCAGGAGTATATGTCTATGTCCCGTGTGACATACGCTGTCCGACCCACAACAATTGCAAAGGGTAACAAGGTCTTTCTGCTTGCGGGAGACTCTTATCAGAAGTATGATCCTTCATCAAAGAAGCAGACTGCGCCTTCACAGGGGTTTGATTTGCTTGTGGGTGAGGCCACGCAAGATAAAGTCATCCAATGGGGCAAACCCACCTCGCTTTTGCCACAGATCGAACCATTCGCTAAACGACGTGGCCTGGAGCAGTTTGTTGGTGGTGGTGGCTCAGGCGTTGTGATGGAGGATGGCACGCTTGTGTTTCCTGTGACGGCGAGGAGGACACGAGAAAACGACTTTGTCTCCATGATCATTTATTCGAAGGACGACGGCAAAAATTGGTTGCTTCCACAGGGAACGGTCTCTGGACGGTGCATTGCCCCTCTCATCGTTGAGTGGGAGCGGGGGAAGCTTCTCATGGTTGTCAAATGCAATTCGCTCTCCAAGGTGTTCGAGTCGAGGGACATGGGGGCAATGTGGACGGAGGCTGTCACGACACTCACACGCGTGCAGCCCAGGTTTTTACCAAACTCTTTGCGAACAGCTGAGAGAGTGGGGTCCCTCACCACTGCGACCATTGCTGGAAAGAAGGTCATGCTGTACACCCAGAAAGGGATTCCCCCTGGGGACATGGCGCGAGCCACCGCGCTCTACCTTTGGGTCACTGACAACAACCGCACGTTTCACGTTGGGCCCATTTCCATGGACACTAAAGAGATGCTGCGGTCGACATCTGCCAACACCCTGCTGCACTCTAACGATGCATTGCACCTTTTACAAGAGAGGGTCAGTACAACGACCACAAACCTGATTTTTTCTTCCCTAACGAAGGAGCTGAAGACGATTACGTCCGTCTTGGAGACCTGGGCAAAACTGGACTCCTTCCTCTCCAATTCGTCTGTGCCCACGGCCGGTCTGGTTGGATTCTTGTCGGATGCATCGGGTGATGGAACTTGGAACGACGCGTACCGTTGCGTGAATGCAACTGTGACGAATGCAAAGAAGGTCGAAGATGGCATTAAGTTCACGGGGTCCGAATCATACGCCATGTGGCCCGTGAACATGTGGAAGTATCACTATGTGCACGGCTTTGTGAATCACGCGTTCACGCTTGTGGCGACGGTGACGATCGATGAGATTCCGAACGGGAGTGCTTCTCTGCTGGGCGCGGGCCTGGAGGACAATGAAAACACAAAGTTTGTGGGGCTGTCGTACACGACGAAGAAACAGTGGGGGACAGTCTTCAACGGCATGACAACAACACACAGCAGCGCTTGGGAGCCGGGGAAGGAGTACCAGGTGGCGCTCATGCTGGAGGGCAACGAGGGCTCCGTGTACGTGGACGGCGTGCTTGTGGGGATTACTAACAAACTACCAACGCTTAAGGCACGGAGGCATGATATCTCTCACTTTTACTTTGGCGGCGGCAAAGACGGCAGTGCGAGAGTGAGGAATGTTTTTTTGTACAACCGCCCACTGAGTGAGCAGAAACTCAAGAAGGTTGACAGCACCAGTGCAGCTGAGAAGCGTGCAGGTGACAGCACCACTGCAGCTGAGAAGCGTGCAGGTGACAGCACCAGTGCAGCTGAGAAGCGTGCAGGTGACAGCACCACTGCAGCTGAGCAACATGCAGGTGGCAGCACCACTGCAGC